ATTGAGTGGGTAGATCAAGCACTTAGTACACATACGTATGTACCTCGACCGTCCTTATAATCTGTGTCGATATCGAAACCATTAGAAAAACTGTAGGACAAAGAGATCAGTAGTGTTTAACAAGTTTTACAATTAAAACGTAAAACCAACGTTCGCAAAAGTATTAAAAATTATAAAACTGGATTGTTAAAATTCAATATTATTTTTTGTTACGTTGTTTAATGATTAATTCATTAGTATTATTATTAATTATTACTGTTTATTTTGTGGGAAATTTATAGTAATATTTTTTTTTGCATATGTTATTGTATACATTTACGTAGAAAGCAAAAATCTGGTTTTATTTTGAATAGAACATCCTCTAAACAAATACATGGTTATCTTTATTTCCACTAACAAGTATGTGAAGCATAATTAATGGATCAAAAGACTTACCTGAAGGAAGTTCGATCCTGATTATGCGAGCATCCTTGTTAGTGGAAATAAAGTCCCACCTCCACCATATTTATATTATTTTTAACCCCAAACTCCTAGACTCCACAATAGGTAATGAGTAATGTAGACAGGTAGCGATAGACAGACGTAAAATTTTAAATCTAAACATGTGGGTCAGCGGCGTAACATAGGTATACTACATGGTTATCTTTATTTCCACTAACAAGGATGCTCGCATAATTAGGATCGAATTTCCTTCCTTCCTTTTTTAGAAGTTTTACTTTTTCCTTACAATTTGTATTTTTTTTTTTTTTTTTGTTTGAGAATTCTGTGAAGTTGTAATTTTTTCATTTACAAACCCTCGTCAAAAAAAAAACTAAAAAAACTGCAAATTCTAGAGTTTATTTTATACTGATTTAACGTAAATCACCTCATCAAAAATGCTTGGGAAGGGTTTTGAAAATTGTCATGACAACGCCTGAGCGCGACTTTGAAGTCTGCCACCCGACTCATGGTCGAAACCGTAATATTCTAGGTATGCCGCTGACGCATAGGACAAGCACTTCGCGAACGCTTCGAGAAGCTACCGGAGTGATCCCTTTGCGGCGTATGAGTCATAGAGAGGCAGTTCCCGATCTTTCTGGAAAGCCGAGAGTGTTCTGGTACAGAGCTGGCTTTATATAAATAGCACGAATTTGTCGACGAACGATAAGATTCAATTTATTGTAGGATAGTAAATAATAATTATAATAAATAAATTAGAATTGTGAGTTATAATAGTGCCCAAGGCTTGGGGAGACCTTTGATGAACATTTGAAGAACTTAGAAGATGTTTTTAGAAGACTCCAAGCAGCCCAACTGATGCTAAACCTCAAGAAGTGCCAACTATTTCAAAATAAAGTTAATTACCAAGATCATATAGTCAGCAAGGATGGCGTGGCTGTAGATAAGGAAAAAGTCACTTCTATCAAAGAGTGGCCACAACGAACTGATAAACATCAGATAAGAAGTTTTCTTGGGCTATGTACGTACTATCAAAGATTCATCAGGAAGTTTGTAGATATTGCTAAGCTATTAACACGATTCACAGAAGAAGCGAGAGAATTCTGCTGGGAGGAAGACTACCAAACTGCCTTTGAAACATTAAAGAAGCATTTAACAACAGCGCCAATACTAGGCTACCCAATACCAGAGGGAGAATTTATTCTGGATACTGATGCCAGTATTGTGAGAATTGGAGGAGTGCTTTCACAGATTCAAGGGGGAATAGAAAGAGTACTGGGTTATTTTAGTAAAGTGCTCTTGAAACCTGAGCGAAATTACTGCGTCATGAAAAGAGAACTCCTGGCAGTTGTAAAATGCGTGAAACACTTTTACCAATACCTATATGGAAGGAAATTCTTAATCCGTACCGATCATTAAGTGGTTGATGCAGTTCAAAAACTCGGAGGATCAAATCGCCAGATGGATTAACCGACTTCAAGAGTACGACTTACATCGAACATAGAGCCGGAATGGGCCACAGAAATGCCGATTCTCTTTCTAGAAGACCAGGCACAGCTCACCTCACTGCAACAGAACAGAATCCAAAGAAAGTGGACTACTAAAAACAACTGTAGTCAACGGTGAACGAGAAAATAATTTTCTCTGATATATTACTCGACCTACGTTGATTTTAAAAAAATCCACATAAATTTGATGAATGATGCAGAATACAGTCCTATTCATCACCCAACAATTCCATAATTATGCATTGAAAAAATATATTTTTGTTTAAAGAGTTATCATTGATATAGATAATAACTATTTTTTAATATAGTTTTGTTTTTCTTTCCATTTGGTATGAAAATATTTTTGTTTAGTTTTTGGTAGATCTTGAATATTTTGTGACGGTCCTGTTACCTTCGTAAACGTACGTTATGTGTAGGCAACCAACATTACTAATAGAAATAACTTGATTTACGTCTAACAACCGTTGTCGAACGATTGTGGTGGAACGTTACTTTGGATCAAGAGCACTTTTTACGGTCTTATCTGGAATTATTATCATTTTTAAATAATTATAAGTGTTTTTTCAGCTTTATATTACATTTATTTTGTTAATATAAATTTAAATTTACCGCTCAGTAAATCAAACAACCTACCAATCACTTACAAGGTCGATCAATAACAAATTTCATTGGGTAGTTTTAAAGCTGTCAAACCTGCCAAAAAACTTAACCGAATTTCTACAATCCGTCATTTTTATCAAAAGCTTTTGAGATATTTCTTTGTTCAACAAGTAGCACATCATTTTATTTGGAATTCTGTTTATATAATATAGTAAATAAATATTAGGTAAGTTTAATGATTATAATAAAAGTTCGAAGTTTATGTAGGTATGTTATAATGCGTAGTATGTAGAAATTTTGGAAAACCGGCTATTTTTTGTGCCTTTATGGCTTAGTAGCCATTAAAAACGTGGTTTTATTTATTTTAAATGAGTTCTTAAATTAATTTTCAGGTAAAAATGGCAGACGAAAACAGAATTCGTTCATTCAAAAACAAGGGCAAAGACACAGAGGTTAGTTTTCACCGAGGTTTTCACAAAAATCTTGAATTCTCAAATGTATATGCTTTAATTTGTTTAGGAAATGAGACGGAGGCGTATCGGCCAAACTGTGGAGCTCCGCAAAGCCCGAAAAGATGATCAATTGTTAAAAAGAAGGAATATATCGACAACTGAAGAACCTACATCTCCTTTACAAGAAAATAACTCTGTGTCTCCCCCATCTATGACTGCAGAAGAAATTATGTATGGTAAGGTCATAAATTGCATTAGGCTTTGATAAAAAAGATTAAATTCAAATTTCATTGGGTCCCAATAACTCCCAATTTTAAATAGGTCTCGGGATTCCAGTGTAATGTTTAGATATGATGTCAGTAACCTTTGGTTGATGACATGATTTATAAGTTATTTGTATGTTAAAATATTTTAAATATACTGACTATATTCACTTAAGTCTAACTACTTTAAATGTTAATTCTTTTTATATATTATTAAGATGTTTCTAATGAAAACGTAAATAAAACTTATTTTATTAAATTTTGTAAATGAAGACAACATCGTAAAATTGAATTGAAATATGTAGCAAAATGGATAATGTATACCTTGGTAGCCAGTTATTAACCCTTTCACTCATCCATTTTTAACATTAGGTATACAAATAAAAATTGAAGAAAAAGGGAAAGCTATAAATTTCTTGATGTTTGATGTTATGTGCTAGGATGTTTGATATATTGTCGGCCTAAGATGCAAATGGCCTAACTCCTAAAATATAAAGAGAGGAATCTTTCAGACCTAACCTTAATGTAAAGGGGTTATACAAAATGAATTATGTAATGTTTGGCTCAAATATTCAAAATAAGCATGGTAGGTGATTTTGAATCGACAGTATAGATCTTTAACTAACAGGTAGCCAATAAAACGTATTTGTGGTAAAAAGTGGAGTCAGGCCGATAATATGTATTTGTCAGGGTTCGATAATATGATAATATTTATATAAATATATTGCATGATATATATCAGCTTTAAAATTTAATTATTTAATTAAAAAAAAAACAGTTTTGTACTTGCACAAACTATATTTTAAATTTTAACTCAAACATATTAACAAAAACCTATATTCTAAACAACAAAACCGTTTATTCTAATTGAAATTAAAAAGAAAAACAAAAATAATAAAATAAACTGTTTTTAACATTATTTTATTAACATTAATATTTTAACACAAACACATATAAATTGCTAGTTATACATTGAGACATTTTCGGATGTTTAGAATGGTGGAAAACATTTTTAATTTGATAAATAAAATTATCGTATATATCGGATATATATCAAGGCATAAATATCATGATATATATTGTGATATGATATATATCCTCCGAACCCCGGTATTTGTGCTGGGACATGACTTAGATTTAAGAAAATAGTTGGCAAAATAAAATGATATTGAACATCTTGTGGCATGTCGAAAACAATTTTGTTTTTCAAATTATTATTTTTAGAATAGAATTAGGATGAAACTTTAGCGATTATGTTAATCTTGAAAATGAACAGTTGAAGATTGCATTGGTTAACTATTTGCTTACATAGAAAGTCTAGAAGAAAGAAGAACCTAGATATAGGGAAAAAATTAATATTTTGCCAATAATAATAATAATACTATATTTCTTTCAAAAACATTTAAATTTTTTTTCTGATATAGGAAAACAGTTACCAAAGTAAAATTATATTGTTTTTCCAATGATAATTTTAGAATTTAGAAAATAATTTGAATTTTATTTTTAGTGATTGTGTTAATCTTGAAAATTCACAGTTGAACCTTGTTAACTATTTGCTAATATAAAAAATCCTGCAATATCTAGGTAGTCATAGAAGAGCCTATATATAGCAATAAGATTTTGCCAATAAATAAAAGGCTGGGTCTGTATTAATACGGAAGCTCCATGCTTAGTATTCATTGCAAAGGATAAAGTTCAACCCCCCACTTTAGTAATATTATTTTTTCAATAATTTACCTCAAAACAATCCACCATTTAGCATTATTTTTAATTCGTCTTCCAATTAATGTTAGTTAGCCATATTGGAAAACTTTTCAATAAAAAAAAACCTGTGTTTTGTCACATGTAGTATGATATAACTCGGAATGGGCAGATAAAAATTTTTTTGAACGAAAACTTAGTCCAATAATAACGCCAGATAGCATTAATATCATGGTCTAATTTTTTTTTTTTTTTTTTTGAAATAGCAATTTTTTTAATAATTTTATAATATTTTAAGAGCCTAACATTAATTCACCCTAATTAAACGTTTTATACTATTTTAAGAGCCTAAAAGTGTGGTAAGTAGCTGTTTTCATAAAAAGAAATTAATAAACTGAGGTGCTCAGTTGATTTTATTCCAACAAAGCACCATGTAAAATTAAAAATAGCAATTTTTTTAGTAAAGTTTTCTAATTTTAAGAGCCTTAAAAAGGTGGTGTGGTTGTTTTTAGAAAAAATGCTTTAAAAAACTGATGTGCTCTACTGACTTTGTTCGAAGCTAGTAGAGTACCTTGTTTTTTGCAAAAAACGAGGAGCATACATTTTTTAGATGGGATATAAAAATAGCCTAAAAATATGGCACAGGATTTAACTCAAAATTCCCTCTGATCTGGCATAGGTCTTGTTAAGGTTAGTTATTTGCAAAATAATATGACTGATGTTTAGAATAGAATTCTATTCTTTGGGGCGGAAAATAAGCATGTGCAGTCATGCAGTAGTATATTTTCCAGAAAGTAATTGTAATGTTTTTAAAATATATATTTTTTTGTTTTCATATAGGAAAATAGTTGGAGTAAAATTATATTGAACAGCTTGTGACAGGACCAAAACAGTTTTGCTTAACATTTTATTGTGATAATTAAGATTGAGTTGTTAATTATTTGCTTACATAAAAAATCCTTCTGCAACATATTGGTAGTCACAGAAGAGCGTAGATATAGCAAAAGATTCAATATTTTATCAATAAATAAAATAGTGTATTTTCCAGAAAGAATGTAATGTTTTTTCCCATGTTGGAAAATACTTAGTTTCCGAAGTCAAATTATAGAAACGGAATTATGATTAAAATTTTAGTGATTGTGTTAATCTTGAAAATTTACAGTTGAAGTTTAACATGTTAACTATTTGCTTACATAAAAAGTCTTTCTCTAACATATGTAATCACAGAAGAGTCTAGATATATTAAAAGAAACGATTTTTGACAATAAATAAAATTATTTATTTTTTGTTCATATAGGAATGATGAATTCGGATGAAACCATTCAATATAAAGCAACTTTGGCTTGCAGAAAAATTTTAAGTAGAGAAAAAACGCCGCCAATCGATCATATGATCAGACTAGGTGTTGTGCCAAGATGTGTAGAATTTTTGACCAAAGCACACAAGTAAGTTATTTTACAACCAGTTGGTTCTTAGTTTAAAATTTAATTTATGTTCTTCCAAACTGGATTTATAAGATTCCTCTGTTTTTAGTCCTGCCTTGCAATTTGAAGCATGTTGGGCACTAACCAACATCGCCTCTGGCAGTTCTGACCAAACTGCTGCAGTTGTTCAAGAGGGAGCCATCCCTCGTCTTCAAGCTCTTCTATCTTCCCCTCGCATTGATGTTGCAGAACAAGCCGTCTGGGCACTAGGAAATATTGCTGGTGATGGACCTGTTACCAGAGACATGGTCCTGAGTAATAGTGTCCTACCTGACCTTTTACAATTAATTAAACCAACTACTTCCTTATCACTTTTGAGAAACACAGTTTGGGCTATATCCAATTTATGTAGGAATAAGGTAAGGATTTTGACATTTTATGTAATTGCTTACTTAGTCTTGGAAAAATGAGAAATATTTGTATTTATTGAATATACAGGAAATCCCCATTACAACAAAAACTATACAAAAATCATTTAAAAGGCAACATACATTAATTTGCAACTTTGTCTCATTTTAAAAACAGACACCTACACTTAAAGTCAAATTAGATATAAAGGAAAATCGAGGTAGGATTCCATAATAAACATAAGACTTTGTGCATTAGCTTCATAAGTTTGAGTTGCGGTATTTGGTGGCAAGTAAGCCATACAACAATAATAGATTTTTGTTTCCAATATATTTATCAGTAATGTAATTTCATGTGTTAAATCATCTAATTATCTACTTAATACAAATTAATTTTCATTTATTCAGTCGGCTATTGTCAGACTGATTTTGATATTTTGATCTAAACAATTGATACTGTTCTGTTATTCTACTTTACAATAATTATTACATTAAAAAGATAGAACCGGTATTCTTATTTTTTTATATATATTTAATAATTTGAATTTTAGAATCCATCTCCGAATTTTGAGCTTCTGCAGCCAGCTCTTCCATATTTGTCCCGTTTATTGAACCACAACGATCACGATGTCCAGGCGGATACATGTTGGGCACTCAGCTACCTCACGGACGGCCCGAATGAAAAAATACAAGCCGTTTTAGACACTGGACTCATTGATAGACTGGTGCAATTGCTCTACAGCGAACAAGGCACGGTGTTGACGCCCGCCTTGAGAGCCGTCGGCAACATAGTGACAGGCAATGATCAACAGACAGATCTGGTTATAAATGCAGGAGCGTTAATTATTTTGAGCAAATTATTGTCGCATCATAGGTTGAACATTGTCAAAGAGGCTGCTTGGACCGTTTCTAATATTACCGCAGGTAAAAAATAGCATTCATTTATTTCTTTTTTACAGCAAAAAAATACTAATTGTTTTTTTTTAATGGTCATATCCAATTCAATTTAACATTAAGTAGAATTTATTGAAATTGTTACATCTAATTTAGTTGAATTTGATTTTACTAATGATTCAATTTTTTTTGGGTGCATTTGTAATAAAACGAGAATAGTGAAATAGACACTAGACACGACAACAGCGAATATTATACCTCCTGTGTCCCTTACAATATGTTTTATTCATGACAGCACGATATTTGTTTGTAGTTACATCTCCTGTTATTTCTGGGTTTACCACTCGGATTACACTTTATGAGGGGTAATGTAGATCAAAGATGCATCTAAAACTCTTTAGAACGAGTTAACAATGTGTTCTGACAATTTTGTAGTTTCCTGGGTTCAGTGAATTTTTTCATTGGCCCATTTTAAAGGAGGTAATTATTCTAATTCAAAGAATATGAATAACTGTCCAGAGACTTAAGGGATTGTAATTCATTAAATAGTTAAAAAAACAAAAGCTTTTATTAAAACCAACAAAATTAAATTTTAACTTTTCAAGCATACTGTGTGTTATCCTAATATTGTATATTACTTCAAAAAGTATCTAACTGGATACAAAATCCATTCTTTATCATCATTCAAAGATTATTACATTTGAGAAGCATTAATATTTTTGAATAACTTTTTTCTATTTGAAAGGTAACAGTGACCAAATCCAGAAAGTATTAGATGCTGGCATAATGCCTCCACTTTTGCACGTCCTCCAGACCGGAGACTTTAAGAGCCAAAAAGAGGCGGCTTGGGCGGTCACGAATTTCACCAGCGGCGGCACCATTTCGCAATTGGCGAAAATCGTGGAATTGGGAGCTCTCAAACCCATGTGCAACCTTTTGAACTCCAAAGATTACAAGACTGTATTGGTTGTATTGGACGGTTTAAATAACATCCTAAGCGTACGTAACAATACCTAATTAATTTATCTTTTTGAAAATAATTTTCTTTTTCTTTTAGGCCGCCAACAAATTGGGCGAAGTCGAAAAGGTGGCCATAATGGTTGAAGAATGTGGTGGTCTAGATGGAATTGAGGGTTTGCAGTCTCATGATAATGAAAAGATTTATGAGAAAGCACTCAATATTATTGAAAACTACTTTTCAGAGGTAAATACTAAATCATTAGGCAATGAAATAAATTTTTGCAACCACTGTAATCCGAGATATATCGAGAAAATTCTATTCTCACAAAACAACTTATAAAAAAAAAATATGTAAAATGATGGGAAAAAATATAGCTGGTCTGTTTAAAAATTTGGCCCAAAACAATATGTGATGAAAATAATAATTGTTGGATCAATTTCAGTATCCAACAACCTCACAAAACAACTCAATTATTTTTTTTTTTTTAATTATATAAAAATATATCCACTTTTGCACGTCCTCCAGACCAGAGACTTTAAGAGCCAAAAAGAGGCAAAGAAAAATATATCCACTTTAATGTTTATGTGACTGAATGGATATTGGGCTACTCATCCAGCTTTTAGATAAGAATTTGTTTTTTATTTAAATTCGTTGAGATTTGTAATTTTGTGACATTTCTAAATTGAGTTTTTTCTAAACAATGTTACAATTTTGATTAAATTTTAAAGTTATTTTTCAAATAAGTAGGATCTAATTTTTTTTACTCACAAACAATATTTTTAAATGCAAATAGATATATTTTATAGCTATTTTTGCTATAAAATATAGCGGCATTGTATAAAAAGTAATAAAAAAATAAGAATATCTTAAATGTAAGATTAGTTTGTTGGTTACATTTTTAATATAAAGTTTGATCTGCAGAGTGTATTACAAACTGGTTTTCAACAGGATTTACAGACTTTATGAGTATTCCTTTGTGGTTTAATTTTTAAAAAATTTGACATTTATCAACCACCCTAAACCATAATACGCACAGAGGCATCATGCTTTGGTAGTTCTCTAGCTGGAGTAACAATGAGCTAGATGACTTTCCGACCGAGAACGATTTCTAGAGACTTGACATGTGAAATAATAACTAACAACTTTTGGAATAAGAGATCGCATTTGTACAGCAGGAGGGTAGAGCTCATTAGCAAAGATCTTAAGTCTTCATAACAGTAGTCATCTATTTGACCTGTAGTTTGCATCGTTTATGAAATAACAGAATTGTTCTTCTTTGAAACATACTGTTGCATGTTTGTTAATATGCAAAAATGGTTGAGTTTATAGGTATATATTTAGATGGCTGCACATTAAGAGGTAAAAATGGTCAGTTTCACACTTGTAAAAACATTATTTTTTGTATATTGATATGGGTTCAAACCTAAGAATTCAGTTGAAACTAGAAAAAAAAAATAAACAAAACAATTTAATTTTCATAAAAAAATATGGCCTCTTCCTTTTCGTCTACCCCAGCTGGATTCCTGATCTCTGTCGTTTTCTTGCTCTGCTTCCCCACTCTCATTCCTGCTGCCTCTCTCGGTTTCCAATTAAATATAATGTTTTAACCTTTTTACTTTTAATCTTTTTATTTTACTTCTCCAACTTTATCAACTTACAACAATCCTCATACCTTATATTACATCTATCCCATCATTTAAATATTTTCCTAAGACCTTTCTCAAATCTCTTCTGACAGTCTACAACCATCAAAATTCCCCTGACATCCCTACCCAAACTTGTTTTGAATTTCCAATTAGCCAGCTTTGCATTTTGACACTGACAACTAAATTTTGTTATACAACTCCACTACATAGTGTTTGTCCATCAAAAACATAAAAACATGTTTTTTGTTTAAATTCCAAATAAATAAACAGTGGGTACCCACAAGGACGGAGCATTATTGTAATATTTTTGTACATTCTGGTAGATCATGTAGATTCTGACATTTTTAAAAACTAATTTTGCTATGTATTAGTCTAAGATCCGAAGTAATTTTGACTTTGTTTAATGGATAAAAGTTTTTTTTATTAAATAAAATATGTTTATATAATAAGTATACCGCTAATGGGTTGCCTAAGAAATTATTCCCCAGATGCTTCAACTATACCCAAAATTTAATCAGCTTTGGTGTTTTTCTTCAAATATCTCGAATACGCTCCATTTTAGGGAAATCATGTATAGGAAATGATAAAGAATGACATCACAAGCAACTTTAATCATGATTCCTAGACTTTCCTTACCTGTATACAAAAAGTAAATAATGGCCGTGGCCGTATTTTCTTAAGCAAAAAACTTTCATCCATTAAACAGATGGGTGAAGGTCGACCTTACTTCGGATCTTGTACTATATGGGCAACTATAAACTGAATATTTTTGCTATTAGAATCTCTAAATGGCAATAACCTTTTTTTCCAAAATTGTTTTTTTTTTTTTTTTTTTGTAAAGCCTTGGCGGACTCTTAAGAATTGTTTTACTTTTTAAATGACAACACTTCTTTTGATAAATGTAACAAATCTGAAAAGAAAACGAATTTTTTGGGCCTTTTTCCTCCAACATAACGGTTAATAACTTTCTCTGCCTGGTCCTATATAGCCGGAAGTGTTTGGCTTCTTCAATTTTAGGAGCAAATACTTTTTTTGGCACAGCACCGTAAAGGGGTGAATGACAAGTAGTGTATAATTTCTCTCATCAAACAAGTTATCCATGTCTTTTTTTTTAATTTTAATGTTTTGATAGTAAAATGAGACACTTCTGCATATTTTTCCCAAACATGCTAATCATTTTAGAGACGAATCTTGAAAGAAAAGTATAAGTTGTTGGATGAGGGCAATTGCGCAATACTTGCCTCACTTCTTTAACGATTTCGCTAAGTTTTAAGTAATCATGAAAATTTTAGGGGTCTATGAAAAAATTTGCATTTTAAATTAGTAAAGTTTATTATTTTAACTAAAACAAATTTGTTGAAAGACATTCTCCGATTAAAATTTCGATTTGCATTTTATAAGACATGGAAAAACATTTTTATGTATAGATAGCTGCGATTTCATATTTGATCGTAAATATTGTTTCTAAACAAGAGTTTTCTAATTACATTTTTTTATTATTTTTGAAAATAAGAGCTCTACTTGTGAGTAAAATTCATCTTTTTACTTTCTTTTCGAATGGTAAATATTAATTGAAATGTATTATTTGAATATTCTATGCAATCTTCATCGTGAATCAAATTTTTTGAAAATTAATAATAAGGATTCTGTCTGACAAATACTGTACATAAAAATGCTCTGCCAAACAATTTTTCCATTGGTAAACTTTAAAAACAAAGAATGGAGGAGTTGTTCCACACTACTTGCTACACCCTTAAGGTGGCGTTTCCAAATACTTCCTACTGAATATAGTTAAGCAGGCCAAATTTTATTAATAAGTTGAAAATGAATTTCTCTATAAATAAAAAAAATTGTTGAATTGTTTGTGAAATTTACTATAATGAATTTAATTAAGGAGGTCCTTTCGCCACCAATGTTAAATAAAAAATATTAGATTATGACTAAAATTTATTTTTTTTCTAATAGTTGAAGTCCTTATTTATCTAATGTTGAACTTTTAACTATACCTTACCGTGCAAATTTTTGAGAATTTTTTTTTTTTTTTTAATGTGAGTATTTGTGCAGTGTCTTATGAGAAAATAAGACCTCAACAACAATTCTCGAATTATATTATTATTTATTGATTAGATGGAGTAGAAAAAAACTAAAAATAGGGTTTTTGAAATATTAAGGTTTTGTTTTTTACAATAAAATATATAGGTTACCTTGGAATTTATTGAGAAATTAATATTAAAAAAAAAGTAACCTAGTTGAAATTTTTTTGTGATGTTTTAATATTAATTTCTCAATAAATTCCACGGTAACCTATATATTTTATTGTAAAAAACAAAACCTAAATATTTCAAAAACCTTATTTTTAGTTTTTTTTTTTATCAATAAATAATAGTAAAATTAATTATAATTTGAAAATTGTTGTTGAAGTCTTACTTTCTCGTAAGACACTGTACAAACACACACATTTTGAAAAAAAAATTTCTCAAAAATTTGCACGGTAAGGTATAGTTAAAAGTTCACTATTAGATAAATAAGGACTTCTACTATTAGAAAAAAATTAATTTTAGTCATAATCTAATATTTTTTATTTAACATTGGTGGCGAAAGGACCTCCTTAAATATTGTTTTGGTTAAAATTTATGAGTCTTTGACAGATATGTAAACTGTGGGTAATTTTAAGTTCACGTTTTTTGCAACCTGTTTATTATAAATTTAACATATATTTTTTTTTTAGGGTGGTGCTGATGAAAATCTTCCTGCTCCTAACACGGCTGATGGTCAAATTCAATTTGCCACTCCTACACAAGTGCCTAGTGGAGGATTCTCATTCTAAATCCTTGCCCTTTTTTATACTATATACAAAATTGCATTGTTAACTGTCCAAATTATTTAAACTGATCTCGCCATTCCATATTTTTATTATGTTTGTAATGTTAGGAAAAAGCGGAATCTTTTGATTTTATAGTGTTAGTAGTTGGATTTTAATTATTGTTTATATTATTCATATTAATATCATCAATAGAAGCATATCGCGTTGTTTTTGTCACTTTTTTATTATTATGGCATGTAATGAGTATTTTTAAAGCTTACAAGTTAAATTGTTAGTTAGATCTGTCCAGTGTTTAGTGTACTAATGTTTTCATACTCTTTATATTAAAAATTTATACATAAATTTGTATCTAGTTTTGTTTGAAACGATCATCTCCTAAATCTCGTTAGTCAGTACTCATGATGTAATTTGATTTATGTTAAAAACTATTAAGTATCCCTGGCTTTAATTATGACTTGTCATGCTCAACAAATGCCAATACTGTTGACATACAAAAACATTTTATTTTTTTCACTCCTTGGGACCTGAAAAACATTTTTTTCACGCATGATATTGTTTTCAAATACTTCAAAATAACTTCGTCAAAAATTTCTGTATTTCCTCCAAAATTTTGATTTAAAGATCTAATTGATTGGACTATCCACTGCTTCCAGACCACGCAAAAAATTTAAAAGCCTAAAAATATTTAAGAAAATAACGAAAATGTCTAAAACTGTAAACTACTGGCAGTCTTTTTTTTTTCTCATTGACCTTTTTGGCGATTAGATCCATTTGCAACAGATAAGTATTAAAATAATGAAATTAATGGTAGTCAACTTATTTTCATTATCTTCGTTACCTATTTTTTCATGTAATAATATAAATGTTTACTTTGTATAGCAAATTGCTAAATAAACTAATTTATGATTTCTGCAAAGGAAACGGATAACTTGGAAATTAAATAATAATAATACTTTCTCAAATTCACCTCCTTACGAGTGAATTTCTACCCCTGAAGTGACTGAACGAATTGTGTAGGGGAAGGGACTGTTATTATTATTATTTGCCGGGGCGACTTAGATGATTGGACTTACAGGTGAGGAAAACCTCACCCACCCACCATCATCGCAAATATATGGCCAAAGGCTTGAGCTACGAATATTCGGTTTTCCCGATTACCTCTACAAAATGGTATACAGGTACGGAAAGTATACTTCACAATGAGGTGAATAAAGTTTAATAGGAACATGCACAGACATATCAGCAAAACATCAATACGACATTGGTTTCATCTCACCCTACAATGCATAAATCATACATACATATCAATGAATCAGGCAATTTATTGCAATAGTGATATGTCTGATATGTGCATTATACCTTATTCAACTCATTGAAAGGTATATTTTCGTGTAGAAAATTCTGTATATGTATATTTTGTAATCAAAAATTTTAGGTATTTTAGGTATTGTAACCTACCGCACCCAGGTACCTTAATAATTTCATTTATTAAATACAATATTACATTCTTTTAAATTCAAAATGCTTCATTTAACGAAAAATCTCCCAGATAATTAAATCTTATTTACAACACCTAATAAATAATATCTATAACCACGTCCGTAAAAGATGTACGTGGCTAAGTTCCTCGAGAAAGAAAACACCATAAAGCGTATTTCTGTTTACGAAGTAATTATCATTAAAACACTTAACTAGCTATTTTTCTAGTTTCGATTTCTAGACCGATTTCGACAATATTTCAATACACAAAGATTTCAAAACAAGTAATAAATAACCCACCCCCTTTTACACCTACATTCGTATTTTCTATGAGAAACAAAACGATAGAGACGTCACAGAAACGATTAAACTGTGTATAAAAAGTCTGACGAGAAGGAGCTCAGATTCATTCAATTTTAATTATTTGATGTGCATGCATTCATTTATTATGTGCAAGCATTCATTTATTATTTGTATCCAGTTATATTTCAAGTTCTTCGCTCTTCCTAAACGACGTCTATCCTACAATACCTCCTATTCCTGAAGGTGTCAACGTCTCGACGCCCAACGTCCTGCCGTCCTACTCCCTACGTCTCGAACGCTGTCACATTCCTCATCATCTAAGTATTTCCTACCGTACATTCATTTCGACGCTCAACGTCCCACGCCTTATTTCCGACATTTGCCGTCCCCAAATATTTCCTTCATAAAATCACGCCCCGCACCACCTACATAATTCTACCGTATATCTCCCAATACAGTACCGTATTAAATACATTCCTTTCCACCACGACGCGCCTCGACGTACCTAAATCGACGCCTTCCACGACGCTAGATGAAATTAGTACATAATCTAATGTCTGTATTTTCAGTGGTGAGTCAAAGATTTATTTAACCTTCTTTGAGATACCACCCCGGTTTCGTTTAAGGGCGGCTTGACATTTGCTACAAAATATCAATTTAACCAATAAACCACATGGCCTTCAGGTCAAACACCCCGAAAGACACTTAGGATAACATCTGTTTTGGATGGGTGAAATTTTGAGTATTTTAATAGAAATTATAAAAATCAATATTAAGAAATATATAGGGTTGAATTAAGTTACTTCAATAGAAATTATAATAATAAATATTAAAATACATACAGGGTTGTATTAAGTTAACTCAATAGAAATTATAAAAATCAATATTTTAGAAATATACAGGGATGATATGTGCTATCTTGGATAAATTGTACAAACCAAGATGGTAAAATTTAATAGTAAGTTAACCAACTGGCGAATACGCTGTTCGTTAGCTCAAGGGGGGACACCTATACGCTAAGCAACCCGTTCTACAAGGTTTGAAACAAAGTATATGTGAAATCAACATAGTAAGGTAAGCAACTGGCGCTCTTTGTTACTTCCGTTGGTCATCACCTATATATACTCATCGTAATATTTACCTAAGGGTGCAACCTGTATGTATCTACAATAGAATCAAATCAATATCAACTCAATAGTTAACCAACTGGCGAATTGGCGCTGTTCGTTAACTCTGTTGGTCATCAACCTAAGTTAAATATATATATTGATAGCAAATGAATATGGCCTGCGTTTGAACGGGACTCAAGTGAGATCTCAGTAAATAGTAACAAATGTAATTTGCTAATTATTGCATCACATTTAAAGTATGAAAAATAAAAGAGTTTAAATATGAATTTGTATGTTTTATTTATCAATTTGCACCAAACTTTGCATCGAATCCTGGTTTACCGTAATTAACATTATCACAACGTGGGTATATAAATTATCAATTAATTAACTAGACGATCACTTTTACTACTAGAGGAAAAAAGGCCAAATACAGTAAGTATAGAATTTAAAGTAAAGTAAAACTTGTGAGGTAAATAATAACATTTCACAGAGTAAAACACAAGAACAAATCAAAAAGAAAAGGGGGCCTGGGGGTGGCCGTCACAGTATCTAAAAATTATAGGAGTGGTTTGTAGATGATACCGTTTAGAAATAAACCTTAGGCCCCTTAAATTATAAAAATACAAATAATGTTAATTCAAAGAAAAATAGTTTCATTATTCTGAATATTTTTTATAAGGATTGTTTGAATAGTATACAAGACAATCCTTTAACAGGTTTTCGAAGATCAAATAAATTGAAAGAAATTTGTGTAGATGCAAACTCAAACCAAATAGAAAGATACATAAAAAAATGAACTCATTTAAATATTTGTAGCAAAATTAATAAAAATTTAACTTACTTTAATTGAAAAGCACTTAAATTTGAAAAATCATTTTAACATTTTGACTAAAATTAAAACAAAATTTTCTAATTATTTTTTGATCCAGTACAAAGAAATGATAGATTGGAAATTGAATGAAGTTGAGTTGGTATTCATAAAAATTCCAATTTGGAATCCCTAACATTACATTAGACCAACCATACTCAACCTGCGGGCCACATGCAGCCCTCCAAGCTTTTTTGTGTTGCCACAAACAGGATCATTAGTAATTGAAATGGTTGATCTATAGTCCTGTCCTTGCGACTTTTCAAAGCACTAAAACATGACCTTTTTTTTAGAAAGTATGTAAAGTTTTTTTATAAAGTTAAACCACAAGAGGACTTTTTTTTAAGTATTATGTAAACTAAAACAATATGAGGACCTTTTATTTTGAAAGTAGTATGTGAAGTAAAACAACATGACGACCTTTTTTTAGAATATTGTGGCTGGTGTAGCATAACATTTAAATTTGTGGCCCAAAAGAAAAAAAGGTTGAATACAGCTGCATTAGACAGTGTAATCTAACCAATGTTTTTTAAATTGAAATAAAGAATATTCAATGAGATTCCGGGCATAATTTTATGAAATAACACCAGTACAAGTTTTTTTTTATTTTTATTAGATCTTTTTAAACTTATAAAAAAACATAATCCTCTTATGCTACAGCTATTGGAATAGCTGGCACATCTTGTTTCACAGCTTTGATTTCACTGCTAGGGAAGAGTGGCAAAGTCTCTTCTTTGGGTTCAACCACAGAGACATTGTCAGGAAGAGGTTTCTTCGGTCCTGTCTTGCCACTGGGGTCCCATGGCAACATGATTTTTACTTTGATACCTAAGACTCCCTGTCTCAATAGTACGTGACGCGTTGCTGTGTCTACATAGTCATTGCATGGGTCTCCAGAGTGGATCATGAGTCCATCTACGAACTTCATGGACTTGGCTCTTTGTCCTCTGAGTTTACCAGAAACAACTACTTCGCAACCTAAAAATAGGGGGCAAATTATAACCTAAATAAACACAATAATTGAAAAAGCAAAATAAGCATACACATGGCCATTTTGTTTTCATATTGAATGTTTTTTTTTACTTAAATAATTTATCAACTTTACCTTTAGCTCCGCATTCCATGATATATCTTAAGACACCATAGCAAGCCCTACGGACAGCCAAGCCCCCGATCAATTTGAACCTAAGACTTTCAGCCTGGGCAATAGCGCACAAACCCCTATTTGCTACTTTCTCTCCATATAAAACAACGGAATTTTCGGGGAAGTTGAATCTTTTTTGGACTACAGAGGTCAATTCCCGGATTCTTCGGTTTTTCTCACCCAATACTCTGTCTGTCCTAGTGGCCATAATGATAATTTCGGTACGAGTTGGGGTAACTCGAACTTCCACGCCGGAATAACCATCTTCAGATAATTCTCTTGTTAAAAATTCATTTAATTCGGCTTTGAAGACACCGTCTCCAACGAATTTTCGCTTTTTTGATATTGTGGTTGCCATTTTCAACGAACGCGAAGACAGAAAAGAATCGGCCACGAGGTAGTGATAATCTAGTAACTTTTATTGGTACCACTGGTTGCAAATGTCATCTGTCAGTAATACTTCCGTCCCGTCTCTAGGGTAAGTTCGGTTTGGAACTCGGCGGATCGGACAGAGCGCGCACGGAGTGCGTGACGTCATAGACAGAGTTCACTCTTTTAAGGCCAAGTTCAATGACAAGTGACGGCGACTTTTTTATCACAAGAAATACAGCTCTGAACGATAATATTTTCAAAAACTGTTTTCATAAATGGGTTAAAAAAACTGTAAAAAATGATGGAAAGTCTATGGTTTGTTTTACTTTTAATGCAAAATATTTTAATAAGTGATATTTAACAAATATTTAAAAGTTATGGACTTTCCATCATTTTTTATAGTATTTAAAAATTAAAACGCAACATACATTCTTTTATTTTTGCCTAATTATTTCAGGATTCTTGTGATAAGATTTAAAAATGTAGGGCCCATAAGATGCTGCCATCTGAACAGACGGAATAGACACTAAAAATTGAAAAATTGCAACATCGCTCCCTATGCAGACTTCCGAGCAATTACTAATAGAGGGAGCGTGAAAACGAGTTTGTAGCAATGAACTGGAGTGGGGTAGAATGCTTGTCAATAGACTTGATGTGCGACTCTATGGGCGAAGATAGGTTATTTTTTATCTCACTCGGGAGTATTTAAAATAGCCAGTTTCTATTTCACATTGTTATTGTCTGATCCACCAGCTTGTGGATTGAACAATAACAATGCGAAACAGAAAATGGTTATTATAAATAGTCCCGAGTGAGATGAACAATAAAAATGGCTGCGCCCATCGAGTCGCACCTTGTTCTAATAGTACAACATGTACATTGGCATTCTACCCCCCTCCAGTTCATTGGTTTGTAGGCGATTGTTGTGTTAGCAACATCTGTAGAGGAAGTGAGGAAGCGGGCACAAGGGGGAAGGTAAACATCCTTCTTGTTCAGTGGCGTATCATTTATCTATAAAAACACACATTGTCCAAACGTTTTAATTGTAAAAAAAAAACTAAAAAATTTGCTAATTTTACTATATTTCAAAAGAATACCGACTTATATGTGTCTAATGCAGGAAATGAAACAAAATCACTGTAACGGTCTAATTTTTTCAATTGAAGAATAAAACCTTAAAATCAATTTTATTATAAATAAATACAGTAGCGACTAGTTTCGGCCTTACAGAAACATCTTCAGGCCTGTATATAATAATCTTTAATTATTATAATAGATTGGTCACTTACGAATAACATTAAATAGTATAAACCACAAAAATGGATCCATATTGTAGCGTTACAGCATTATAGAATTAAAGCTGTGAAAATAAAAGAGCAGTGCAAACGTAACTAAAAATAAGAAAACTGAGTACGGAATCTACAAGAGATGAGAATGAGCAATTACGAATGCATTTAAATTGCTCGGGATAACAAATAAAGCTGATAATGTAGTGGTATAGTCCCCGTCAAAGAACGTCTAGATATGTTAAAGAGGACGGCGTTTTCTCTGTAAATCTGGAGAATGTAAGGATGAAGGGAAGACGAATCTTGCTGGCTCAGGTGTAGATGAAAGCTCCAGTAAATATCGTCACTTTCGTCTAATTTTTTATTCTCTCTCACCGGCACCGTTTCGGCTTTATCTTCGAAATTCATTTTTAAAAGGAAATAAAAGTAATCATTCATACAAGCATATAATAAAACAATATGAATTCATTATATTTAATAAGCTAATAAACGTTTGTTTTAATGAAAAAAAAAAACATATATGGGAATATAAGAAATATATAAATAGATAAGATTAATATCAAAATCAATTTGAAAATACAACAGATAATGAAATGAAATAAATTAATACAAGTACAAATGGAAAGTTAATAACATACCTTCTAAAAGTAACACATTTTAAGTAGATATATGTTTAAAGAGTTTATTCCTGAACATAGGTAACTAATCTAACGTTTTTTCCTCTTTTTAATATTATGAGGGTTTTTGTAGTTGAAATGAAAATTATAATTTATTTTGGTCCTAATAAAAATTTAAACATAGGTTATCAAAGAGTAAAATACATAATAAAACTTCATAATCTTAAATCGTTATCAAAAATTATTAATGGTAAAACTTCAAACAATAATTAGATTCTTAAACAAATTTCTAGTTTTTGTTTTGCAAAAGACTTTTTTGCCTTCATCGGTTGCCTCTGCCACTTTTCTTTTAGTAGTTTCGAGGAGAATTTTACTATGGAAACTAGTAGAACCATCAATTGATTGGTAAAATTTTGATATTTTGAGTCTGGTAAGTCTTGTTAAATTTTCTTCTTAGGAAGCTGTAACCTAATGGATAACAAAAATTTAATGTTAGATCAAAAGCTCTTAATTGAGAATTATATTTGCAAAGGCCGTTTTAATAATATATTCAAAAGTTCTTGGAATCGTTGTTAACAGAAACCTGCAAAAAATATATCATTTTATTCCTAAAATATAAGATATCACACAATGCACATTCATATAATATCATTGTGCTAGAAAAATACTAGGTAGGTACTGAGACAATTTAAAAAAAGGTATTTCGAGAAACTCAACTTTTAATGTCATCATTGTACTTAACTTTTTTATTGCTAAATTATTAATAAAGTCGTTTTGTGTAGTTCGTTGTGATTTGTATAATATATATTATAAAAACCTATCGTCAAAGTTAATGTGCCAAGTTTTTTTAATAATTATGTCCTTGTTATAGTAAAAACACATTTTTAAAGTTTTCTGGATTTATGCTTTAAATTATTGTACAATTGAACTGACTAATTTTGTGTTTAAGTAAAGGTATATCTCTTTTTTGTTATAACAGTCTTTGTATATTGTTCTAACTTTTAAGATAATCAGAGAAAACAGTAAGACATCTTAATATATCCTATTTCACCAACAAAAATGTAGAATAATTAATTTCATATCAAACGAAAAAAGTCATTTTAGGATGTCCTAATAGGTTTTAACTTAAAAACTAAATAAAATGTATATTGCAACTGTGTTTAAATAAATGAATGTTTTTATACCTGACTATAGTACCAGACAAACATTTTTTTAGATCATAATGATCTGCATAACTCAAAATAGTCAAAATCCACATTATTTATTTGTTCTAGTATTGTTTTAGCATAACGATGTAAACTCCAATAATAAATATTCACATTTTTTTGGGACGTTTTTTAAGGAAATTAAAAAAACATGAATAATGTGATATTCTTGTTTAGTATTGTACTATATAATATAGTTCATTAGGTAGTGATTTAGAAGCAAATTATGTTCTATTTATAGAATAAAAAATCACTCATAATATCTAAATATTTATACCTATTTATATTTTGGACAGGAAGACTATTTTATGTTTTTGGCTCTGAATAGTTTTCTTAAGAATTTTAAAACCTTCCTTAGCTCTTTTGGGATATTCCTTGCATATCTTAGAAGTTCATTTTGTTTAAACCGAAAACAAATTAAGTACAAAAAATGAAAATTTAAACAATACACAAAATTAGTCTTTTAGATTATTTTAAAAAAATGTCAACAAAAAAATGGCTATGCCTTTTTCCTTAAACATTCTTTTTGAAATAAACTTACTTGCTGTTTTAGTATTTTAGTAGCAGATGAATATAGTATAGAAGTAGTGACAGGATTGATTATTATACTTCTTTCATCGAAATTGCATTTTTCTTTAATATTTTCCTCCCCTGAGGTCTATAATAAAAATGTTCATTTGCATAAAAAGTTATTCAGGTGGTCACTTGTTGAATTCCTATATTTTGGAACCATGTATTTCTTTCTCATATCAAGAAAAGGAAACCTAAAAAAATAACAATAAACTTTACAAAGATGTTATATTAAAATAATAAGTAATTAACCTTTACTATAATTATTATGAGACAGACGGATGAAGACGAACTTAGCTGGAGTTTACTTGCTCTTAATTTTAATTTTTCGATAAGCAAATAAGAAAGTTTAATTGCAAATTAAAGGTGATTGCCTAATGCACCGCCTCTGATAATTAGGTTGTGTCTGTACTTACTTATGATATTATCTTGAAGAAGCATTTTCAACAGGCCTTTTACACATAACGCATGTTTTTACCATATTATTAGAGATAATAAATCTTAAATATACATTTACAACCCTTACAACGTTATAAATAATAATATTTTCCGTAAAATACAAATAAGAAATTGATATGTGTCAGAAAGTGTCAGAACTGGCGCTCACAGGATACCTATTCTCTAACTCATGGGAGCACTCCCATACTCCCATGCTCCCATACTCCCATGCCAACGTTGCCAAGTCGACAGAATAACTTTGATCTACTATTTAAGAGCCGATACCACCGTTGTGTTAAACGGAGATTAAAGTGACTTAATGTAAAAATGTCATTTCAAACTTTGTTTAACACAGCGGTGGAATCGGTCCTAAATAGTTCAAATTTCCTTTGTGATAAATACGGACCTAAATCTGGCAAGCCCGCAATTCTCCCTCGCATCTGACCTTACTACGCATGTACCTGGCCTAAAAGTGAGTAAGCACGATAGACCCATCTAAGAGTAAGAGAGCAAAATATATGGGAGCACTCCCATGGGAGCGCTCCCATGACATATAGCGGATTCGACTGGCTGCATTAATGCGCATTTAGTTCGACTTTTTTGAGTGGTGTCTGTTCGACTGACAAAACCTAATGAATTAAAAGTCAATTATTGCATTCGACTCAAATTGCTCGGTATCAAGGCATAGTGAAATTTTTGTTCGACTGGCAGGCGTTCTTGCTCAAAGTTCGAATTTTTTGGAACTGTACTTTTTTCCAGTGCCAGTGTAATTTAGGAGGTTAGGAATTATTTAATATATTTAAATATATTGCCATCTTTGTTTTTATTATTAGTGAGAATGGAAAATCTTTGAAATTAATAGAAATTTAATTTTTGGTTTGGCAACTATAA